CATATAGGTCCTTCAAACAGTGACAAAAATTAGAGAAAAACGAAAGGAAACAGCAGATTTTAAAACCCTCGCCGTAAGCAAAGCACTGCAAAACGAACATATGAACTTAATGGTAAAAAAATTAAGCGATATAGTTTCATATCCCAGAAAGAAAGATGACGGTCATATTCCGGGAAGAAACGGGATAACCCTTTTACTAGAGTTTTGGGCGCCTATTATGCTCGCAAAGTAAACACAAATACTGAATGAAATAACGCAAAATTTGAGCCGAAGAGAACAAAATCCAGTCGGAAAACGCATACGTAGCTAGCGGAGGGAAAAATTCTTGGCCACAAATCAACCGGAAAAATGCAAAATTTTGCCAAAAAAACTTCAGAATCAGCTTAAAGTGCTACGACCCATTAAAGGGGAATAAATGGAATCCCAAATGCGTCACAACGAAAAAAAAAGTGCACGTGAACGTCCACACTAGAAGAGATGCTCCGATTGTCAGAAGCTGAGTACGCCATCCGTTTTAGAACATGTTTCGCTAACTGAGATTCTCCCTTATTCATAGTTGAAAAGCAGAAAACCCACTAAAGCAAGGCGCTAATTACTGAAAATGCGAAATGTTTGCCAAATAATGTAAAGGGCTCGATGACGGGCTCAATCATTGAATATGTACCTTTCATAGATGATGTTCGCAAGCACTGTCGACTTAAGATATCCCAGATGGCGTAATTACCACAGGTATCACCGGATGCTAGCAGCGAGCCGTCTTGATTGACATCCAATCGCACAACAGCTGCCGAATGACCACTGAATGTTGGCAAACTATCAGAGCTGCTTGTCTCAGTAATAACAGACAGCTCAGTTTTGTTCTGTAACAGCAAAAGCTACGGAATTGTTTTGTCATTTAAGCGCAACAACAAAATCCACAGAACAATACCAGAGCATAGAGATCAAGCTGAGCAACGGGTCCTCGTGCCGTACCAAGGAATATCCGACATTCAGCAGGATCAATCGCACACGATGCAAGAGCTACATCACAGGCGATCTAAAAAAATATTCCATCAATTTGGGTCGAACAAACCTACAAAAGCTAATTATGTGCTGTTTATATTATAGGCTCAAGTTTAAAATGGCGCCTCGCAAAGCGCCTCATACTCTTAATCATGACGTTTTTCGAGATAAAGCAGTTACTTTTACTTTTCAAAAAATTTGCCTTTCAGCTAATTTTGAAATTATCTACAAAAGGTTGCGCTCCTTCATTCAATTTTTTGAATTCCCAAACAAGCAGTTCTGGGGGCTACTCCTATCTTCCACCCCAATCGTACCTGGGTATGCCATCATACCAAAGCAATAACTGGAAACCGCGAATGATTCATAGAACCAAGTCATAAAAGCGCCGTAAAGAAACAAATTCAACAAAGCTAGAGCTGAGTTTCTTAAATTTAAGCCACATAAATATTATTGCATAAAATTTCAAACGAATGCCTCATCATTATCTGGGATTGAGAAGAGACTAAACAGTGCTGAGATATGGTGAAGTATAAACTTTAGTAGCTTTAACCAAGCCAAGACACTGTTGAATTTTGCGCATCGAAATTTATGTGGTATGAAGCCAATTTCAGCCTAAACAGCGGCTGATCGAGCAGTAAAGATTTTTGATGATCCCAAAAATTCCCCTTTTACCCACCAAAAATAATCGGGCAAAGTGCGGAACAGTGCACTCTCGACATCTGGGGAGCTGTCAAAATCTGTACCTCGCCATGAGTCAACAGTGCTTAGTCAACTGCCATTCTTGCGCCATAATGACCTTGTCTGGATAACAATATTGTAAAAAAAAAAAAAA